AGACAGATGGTTTGAGAGAGGGGTAAAAGAAGCCATTTTTGTCAACCTGGAAAAACCATCACTCAACAGAGGAGATGGACTCAGACACAACCTATCACCCACATACAAAGCACTTTAGGAACAATACCCAAAAGATTCAACTCAGTTTCACACAACAAAGAGGCAGGTGACTGAAACCGTTCTGATGAGGATCGCAACATCCCTTCAGACTCCTAACGACTGTTTACACTTTCACAGTCCCCAAGGCCCCACCCAACAGGGTGGACCTGAAGTAGCTTTATGCTGTGTCACACCCGAAGTATATATCTGCTGTACTCCCCACCACCAGTTAGAACTGAAGAAGCCTCTTGGATGAGAGGTGAAACGTCTTCTTTGAGAAAATTCATGTCCAGTTGCCTAACAGAACTTTTCAACACAGTAATTATGATAAAACAAAGCAGGTGAATAGTTTTAGCCAACCTTGAGTCATTGTACAGTAACAGCAGTGATCCCAGACCACACTGAGAGCATAAGAGGTTAAAATTATGAATTTTTGTCAGAAATGAACATTCCACCAACACAATTACAGGTGAAAGGTTTTAAAATCTACCAACCCTTTTCATGGTTAAGATTTGCAATATACAGCCTGAGAGAAATGATGATTAATTATTATTATATTTTCCTCATCTTTAAACACTGTACCACAGTGTTTGCCAATGATTAACATTTAGATCAGAAGGTGTCAGATGATGCTGTCATTTACACTGTATTTGAACCTGCAAATTACAATGTAATTTACGCTGTAAAAAAATCTCTTAAAAAATTTGTTTTTATTTTTATTGGAAATCAGCATTGTAACCTAGTGTATATGGGAATAAAGAAAAAAAAACAACAAACACACAATTGCAAACTTATATTTTGTTTTTTGAAAAAGAACAAAAAAAATGAAACCACTCTAGTGAATCATTGTTTTGTCACACATGTCAAGGACAAAACTGAAAATGGAAACTTTGATTATGCATCTCCAAAACCAAAGCTTTATGTTAAAATATGTGTAGAATAGTAGTGTAATAATTAGCACTAATTCGTTCAAATTCACTCAATATTCAATATTGCTCTGCATTATTCTTCACTTTACAGTAGGTAATGTTGCATATGTGTGGTATAAAAACATAAAAATCATAAAATTACACTTTGCAATGGCATAGAACAGACTTGTATGTGGTGGGGGTGGATGTAGAGATACAACATCTTTTCAGACCAATATACAGCCGCTCTACAGGAGTAAGTATAGTATAAAAATATCATTATCACTCAACAGTTTGCCATGTGGATGGATATTATGAAAAGAAAAACAATGAGGAGACGTAAAAAGAAAACAACTGTTAAAGGTTCCCATAATAATATCTTAGTATCACATTTAAATAAATTATTATCTATCTTGGTTCATTATGCTACCATTAATATCTGGCCTTGATATGGTGAAAGCTCTTCTCAAACAACAAAGGCTGTAGAATAATGTGGCAACACCTCCACAGCCACTCATTTGAAAGCAAATACAAAAAAAAGGAACCTAGTGAAAATTGTGTTCTTACTATCTATTTGGAGCGAGTGCAATGAGCTCAGCTATCAAAAATAAATGTTCTAATTACACCAGCATTGTAGATTCCACCAGATGTGACTGTAAACCCAGGACGTGGCATTAGTTTGAATAAAAGGTGGAATTGACCATCTTTCATGTGTGCAAATAAGTGAAATTAGAGCAAATAAAAAAAGGGTAAAAAACATCCAATCAGGGCAACTGTGGTGAAAATAGACCGTGCATAAGAAATGGGAGAAACTTGTGATTGTAACGCAACACTGTAGAAGACAACCAGAGATGGTACTGCTGGAATCGGAAGAAACACTGTGTAAACATCACTCCTCATTTTCCTCTAAACAGGACTGTAACTGTCAAAATTACATTGTTACGGTGAAGACTTGAATCTAGTGGTTATAACTATAAACTCTGCAGAGGAAGGTGGTCCAGATGACCAGCTACTGTTCAAACTAAGGGCTAGAGCAGAGCTGTATTTTTAAGGTTTATCAAAGGTTCCTACAATGTAGCAAATGTAGCTCTCTCTACTGGGACCACTGCTAAAAAGAGAACAGTGACATAACATTGTTTTGTGAACCAGCTGAAAATGAAGTGAGATGTAAATTGATTTCTGTAAAAATACAGTTCGATACTTAATGGTGCACTGCTGTCTACTGAGTATACTGCAAGATTGGATATATTATATTCGTCATGAAAAGTTTTAGTTTGAAAAGCAAAGTCGGAACGGAGTTTCAATGAGGTTCACCGATTGACTGATCAGTGGCACAAGTATCTAAATAAGAACTGGTGTGAACAACAGAATCTTAACAGGTGTAAAATGTTCAGTTGTAAATCTGACAACCACACCACAGGTTTCTCCTGTCAATCAAACCAATAAACTGAGGCTGTGATTTAGGAAAGAAAATTTCATTCAGTCACTTCTACAACTACACAACTTCACCCATTTTTTATACACAGTCTATGATGGTTCATACATGTATGAGAGTACAACTGTTCCTAGACAGCACTCCTGTTTGCATGCACTCTGACAAACTTTCTTCCTCATCACACAACAGTCAAGGACGCGCAGCATTATTTGATTTTTTTTTTTTTGCTCTGCTCACACATGGAGGTAAACAAAACAAGCATGCCGTGAAAACCAAAGGCACTGACACACAAGCATGTACACACACACGCACTAACACTGTACACGTTTGTGTGTATGTGTGTGTGTGCATATGTGTGTATGATGGTGTTCTACAGCTGTTGGCATCTGGTACGTTGCATCATCGCCTTCTTTTTTCTCTTCAATGTCCCTTTTTATGTTTACACCTGGTTTCTGTTTTGCTCTTCTCTGTGAAGTTTGGGCAGGCTGTCTCTGGCATCCTCCAATTTGTCAAGAACCCACTGGAGTTAAAGAGGGAGATCAAAGATTCATCGTGAATAAAATAGACGTGTTAAAACACATTTCAACAAGAAGGAGCAGCAGACGTGATGGTTCAGACTCGTACCTTGGCTATCTCGGGAGTCTTGAAGTTTATGATCTTCCCAAACTCCTTGGCATGGAAGACTGATTTTACTCTCTCCTGCAGAACACAAATCCTGCTTTATTACCATCAGCTGAAAACATCCTGTACTAACCATAACAGCCGACTCAGATTTAGAGTTAAACCTTGGCTTCGATGCGAAGTCGTCGGTCCTCGATGATCATCGGTTCCTTGGTGAACTCTTCAAACAGATACTGCCATTCGCAGGTCAGCTGACCAAACGTGCCTTTGGTCACGAAAAATATGCCCCTGGAGCAGAGAGAGTAGAGACAGTATTAAATAAAGAATAAATATCTCAGTGTTGATCAAGAAGAAACTTTAGAGCTTATATGTCCATATTTTTTAAACTCACCTCTTTGTGATCATGAAAAAGTCAGAATCATTGACCTTAGCGTGAGCAAAGTATCTGTACTTGGCAAAACGTCCGTTCTCAATTTTCTAAAAGAAGAAATCAAATAAGAGAAAAGAAAAAATAACTGAAACGAGGGGAAAATTTCAATAACATAAAAAATCACAGTAAAACAACAAGTTACAAGTTTTTTTTTTTTGCTTTTTTTTTACAAGCTTTTCTTCCTCTGCTAAGAGTCTTTACTACAGCAAAGGTGAAACATGTTCAGAATATGGTTTGAAATAAGAAAATGAAAGGAAAAGTAAAAAAAAACCTTTATTGGAATCAAAAGAACAAACGATGACACAACGATGACACAAATAATAAAAAAAGACTATGAGAAAAGAATAATGAAATATAGATGTAAATGATACAGAAGATAATTTAGGTGGGTTATGACTCTTCCACCTCTTAAAATAATACAATTTAAATTAGTAAGAAAAATGTGTCAAATCATTGTGCATTTCCATCTGATTTCATTCTCATTCGCATAAATAAAACTGTAATTGTGTCTTTAAAATTAAAAAAGGAATTAAACATTTATTTAAGTTTTAGTTTCTACCATATAAATTCTGTATTTCAGGGGAAAATACAATTTAAAGAATTCTAAGCTCTGTAGTATAGTAGTAGTATGTCTGTAGTAGTGTTTTTAACATAAAGAGTTTTTTTATGATTTAAAATAAAATAAAATAAAAATAATAGTAAGTCTTTCTGATGACACAGATTTTTTTTATCATCAGAATCAAAATTGTCTTACATTATACAAATTAAAGATAGATTAAAAATAACTGAATGACTGAAAAAATATTTCAGAAAATCAATTCCTTCATAGTTAAAAAAGCCTGTGTGTGTGTTCTTGTCTTTTACATAAACAGAGAACAGGGACACAGGACTACAGCAGCTCAGTGCTACTTTCTAGTCTGTTTCCTCATCACTGTCCTCCTCTGAGACACACTGACTGTGGGTCAACCTCATCTGTGGACATGGCAAAAAAAACAGGCCAGGTCAGGAGATCCAAACACACCGTATGTTTCTACCCACACAGCTGCTTGACATCACTGCACACTGGACCACAGAAGCACTGGTTCACAACACTACGGTGGCTACACATGACGTTCATCTAACCAGCCACAGGTTAAATCGGTGGCTGATAAAAACACAGGAAGAACTGCTAGACGTCTTTATGAAGAGGATGAAGCTCACATTAGTTTTGGCGTTTCAAGTGACAAAAGACCATTTCACCAGCTGTTCACTAGGAATGTGTAACAGTTTTAACTGGGCCTTACTCACATGTACTGTGATGTGATGTAATTATACAGCAAATTATGCAGCAGAAATTCCTTTTGTCCCCCACTTGTAAACCTCGAAGTGACAACCCTGCACCTCCCATTATTACTGTAGACTAACACACACTAAGTATTCTGACCTGAGTCTCCAGACCAGAACCCTCAGCCCAGTCCATCAAGCAGGACTGCCAGCACAACACTGTGAGCCACAGCTTGAAAACTACAGCTAATCTGCATTGAAATACGTCACCTATCTACAGTACAGTACACGTACAGTATGAAGCACTACTGACTGTACAGTCCAACTGGTTCATGTCTCTGTGTTTTACTGTGAATGTGTAGTTTTATCACCTCATTCAGTAAAACACCATAAATGTGTATTCCTCACAGGACAATAAGCTCAACTGTAACCTGGGGAGTTTCTAACAGCACAGGTCGGAGCAGTCACACTTTAGGCTTGTTAGTATGGATCAAGGTGAAGGGAAGACGCACACAAACATTAACATTAACTCACACAGAAAACTAATCAACAATTTTAGATCTGACTAGGTTTTCCCTCCTACCTGGAGCATCTGACTGCCAAGGCCTTCTCTCTCCTTATATGGTCGTATGACACCATCCTCATGGATGAAGCGAGGAGGACGGAGAGACACCACGTCCTGTGATGTCTCAGTTGCTCTGAAGACGTAAGAGCGCAGGCAAAAATAAATACATCAACATTAATAATTACTAAATTATTTTATGTAAACAGTTGTTTATGGTCACTGTGGACCATGTCTACTACAGTATGTAATATTTCCTTCTGTTTATAAACTCAATCAACTGAGAGAGTTTTGTTAAAAGGTTTTGTGTGGAAAACTACTTTTTAATAGAAAGACTTTTTTTAGAACAGGTAATATATGTATAAATACATACTTACACACACACACCTTTATATGAACATATATGTAAAAGTAAACATATACATAAATGTGTTATACATGTTTATACTCTATATAGATATGTATACAGTACATATACACACATACACATATATGTATTTACATCAAGAGATATATAAATATATATAGACATGTACACAGGGGTGAAATAGTTACCTCTTAATGCCCTGGAAAGTACTGCTGGCCATGTCAATGATGCCCCCTGTTGGTCTGGCAACTGCACCCACCAACCCTTTACCTACACCTTTAAAGAAGCCTGCAACACCTTTCTTTTGTGCACCTGCCAAATTACAATAAATACATTTTTTTACTTTAATGGAGAAGTTATTAGTAACAGTTTTTAGGGAATTCTTATTTCTGTGATAATGTCAAAGGAACAAAAGTATATTCATAAAGTCAACATTTTTGTCTACTTCAACGTACCTTTAATTGGTTTGGTAACAATCCCTGTGATTCCACTGACAAAACCCTGAGAAGTGATCAAAATAGTTGCACCAAACTTACTACAGTATTATAAAGTTAAATGTCAGCAGTGAGGTGTGTTTTCTTGCTACATGCTGCAGTGAACATTACACAGTAAGTCTACGTACAGAAACCAGTCCTTTTCCTCCTCGGGCTAGTCCCTCCTTCAGCCCGGTCGGTTGTCTGTTCATTGTTTCTCGTCTCTTCTGCTGATATTCTTCATCCATCGTGATGGCAGCCACACCTTTAGCCATGGCCCCTGTAATCCTGGAGGCCGCGCCTGCTATACTTCCTGTATATGAGTAATAATGTGTTCTTGTCTTTAAAGGTTGCTAAAAATGTCACTAAGTACGTTTTCAGAATATAAAATTCAGAAAGGATAAATTACAGCAGTCAGAATAAATGTGAAATTAAAAAGTTCACCACTTTTGACACATTTAAACAGATGGGCAGAATGCTCTGTGCTCTGTATATCCAATAATACCACCATCCATCTACCCACCCTTACTGTAACACACACACAAACACACACACATATGTGTGTGTATGTATATTATGGCATGCCGTTCAGGAAATTATTTTTTTAATATATATATACACAGAAAGTCTGAATATATATATAAATAAGTCTGAATATATATATATACAAAAATCCTGAATATATGTACAACAGCGTATTTGACCACACTGTCCGTACCGGTGCCCAGCTACGGCTGCTTCCACCGACCAGGCGGCACAGGAGATCCCCATAAAACAGCCCCTGCATATGTCATGGTTATATTTGTAACCCAAGTATTACAAAAGAAGTGAATACAGTGAATGCTTTGTAATAGAAAATGTAATGAATACGTTAAAGAGAATAAGAACAGATTACAGTCATAAAATCGTTAACGATCTAAGCTCACTGAATCACTGGGGGATTCAGAGGAAAAGAGCAACAGTAATGCAAAGAGTGATGTATGTTAACTTTTATTTGAAGATATTTTGTTTGATAGCTGTCATATGACAGAGTGTGCTGTGTTGTCTTTAAAATATTGATTTGTTCACAGGTTCCTTGGTGACTCGCGGAAAATTTGTTGTTCATTCTTTCTTCCACGTTGCTAGTGAAGCGTGGTCTGTAAAAAAACAGTAAAGGAAAGGAGAAAAGGGGAGAAGAGAAGCAGTGAAGAGTGAATAAATAAAAACGTAGCGGTGGTAGCAGGTGTAGCTCCGCCCCGATAAGGGTAGTGTGGTCAAATAGGCTTTGAAAATCCTGAATATATAGAAGAATCCTGAATATATATAGAAAAATCCTCAATATATATACAAAACACCTGAATATATCCATATGTGTGTGTATGTATAATACAAAAATCCTGAATATATACACAAAAATCCTGAATATGTATACAAAAATATGAAGTCTATTTGACCACACTAGAGAAAGAACAGGGCAATATGGAAAGCAATGATTTGCTGTGGCAACCCCTGAAAATAGGGATAAAGCCTAAAGAAGAAGAAGATAAAAAGTCCCTTACCGGGCCAGAGCCAAGCCTGCAAAACTGGCAATGCTCCTGTATTTTGCGCCAATGTAGCGGGCGTATAAATAAATAACCGCAAAGCGACAGAAGCAGCTTCGATATGAAAGTCTTTCTTTATTCACTCTTTGTTACTTCTTATACTTTTTTTTTACAGACCACGCTTCACTCGCAATGCAGAAGAAAGAATGAACAATCCGGTACAGAACAATACATTTTCCACAAGTCGGAAAATGTATACATATATATGTATAGTTATATATTTATATATATCTTTACCACTTACCCACAGCTCCCCCCACCAGAGCCTTTACTCCAAGGGCCATTCCTTCCACAAATTCCTCTGGGCCCTGAATAGCCCCCTTCAAAAGCCAAAAGAAACAAAACTCATGACTGTTGGGTCTTAAAAAAGGCCAGGAAGGCTACAGTGAAGTTGATAACACACACTTGACCTTTTGACTCCTGCCTTACCTGATAGGGTTCATAGAAGAAAGCCTCCACTCCCTCTGACAGCCCTCTGATCAGACCAAAGGGGTTTCCCAGTACATCCAGCCCAAGCACCAGCACATACATCTGTTTGATAGCCTGAAACACAACAGAGGGAGACATGAAGGCCTGCCTCTACTGTGCACATGGTTATATATAAAGAAAATAGTAGAAAAAAAGCCACAACGCTTCTAGGTTTTTAGAGCAGAGTCATCTTCCATGTGTTTGTTACCTGCTTGGAATAGTGTCTGATGACTTCCCACTGTAGCTGCTGAGTGGTGCAGAACTGGAAGTTCAACTCAAAAAAGGCCAGCCTTGAGTAAACATTGAGTAAACATTGAGTAAACAAACATAAGTTCAGCTGCAGTGTGTTGCTACCAGAATAAATCATTCCAGTTTGACTGAGAAAGTTAAATGTTTTCTTTTCATGATAGTCGTGAGTTTTCATACTTGAAGACGACGTCCTGAACATCAGTGAGTGTTGCTCCGATACTCTTCAGCAGCAGGTTGAGAGATTGCACTGGGATGATTTCTGTGTCTCTCTTGCCCTTCAGCCCGTCATCTCCTCCTGTGCTCAGGGAGAGACTCAGGTGCAGCTGAAAACAAAAACACATCAACAGTCATGGGACTGTTTCTTAAGAAGCGGGGTGAATAAGAGATGATTGGACCCAGATGGATGTCTGTTCCAAATACCCTTCTGGTCAGGTTGCTATAATATGATCATCACAGCAACACAATTTTTTATTTTTTTTTTCAAAATGTTGTTTTATGGTTCTTTGGGGTCAGACCACCCACGGACAACATAAATCAGCGCCTCTGTATAGCTCACTGAAGGTAATGACAGAAAAAGGAGCAGGTGGATTTTGCAATAGGCGCTCGCGACCGTCTATTTACAAACGCCAAAAGCAAAGAAAACACGCTCCTATGAGCTCGTTCCACGCTCGCCAATGTGTTCTGCGAAGCTCGCGTCCTGTGCCCTTCAAATTAAAGCAGGAGTCCTTTGCGCGCTTCCGTAAACGAGGAGCCACTGAATGACACGCAGTCAAAGATGATTACAGCTAACAGCGCTAACCGAACTCACAGTACTGGAGCAGGTATAGCGGAAATATCGCGATTACTACCAACACACGGCGTCTCTGAAATTACATTTCATAGTATTTTATTGCACATGTGCTACTTTCAAACAGGGTTATACAAATTTTATTTCGTTCATTTTTGTTAAAGCGAAAAATTTGTCTCAAGGTCAGATTTGTCCTTCTTTTCTGTCACATTTGGAGCTACAATGAAGCTTTACCGCCACCCTGTGGTTACGAGAGTAAAAAACGCACACATTTTGCTTCGTACTTTTTTCAGGGATTGGGAGAGGGGTTAGAGAGAGAGAGATTACAGCTAAAGACAAACGAAGCAGCCTTGTAATTAGTATTTGTAGTATCCATGAAGATATGTTTGATCATAAATAGTACAATATTTTCTCTTCACTTTCTCTTTAAATGTAAGACATGTTAGCGAGTTTAGGTGATTAGATTTAAATAAACAATATTTCAATATTGAACAGGTCTCACAAATGCGTACATAGCACCACCCACAGGGCAGGGTGAGCTCAATATGGTCAACTCGAAATTATATAGCTGTGGAAAAAAGAGACCACTTTTTTCTGAAATCAGTATCTCTACATGTTTAACAGCCATTCCATTCTAGCGTCTGCTAAATTCCAACACAAGCACACCTCAATCTACTTAATGAGGAATTGATTTAGGTGAACACCTGAACCAAATCTTGTTTAACAAGGAAAAGTATAAAAACCACTGCTGTGGTCATCACTATTGTCTTGCAATAGGTCCAGCTGGTTGGCAAAAACAGTGCTAGTAGTACCTTGAAAGTAATTGTTAAGAAATAACTACTGACTAACCATGCCAAATAAGTTGAGCTTTGATTGAAGAAAGAGGAAAGGGTTCAATTTTGGCTTTACTGGCAGCGTCAGGTTTCTTCAGGTTGCGTCAGGGTGAAGTGCAAGACAAGAACTGTTTGAAACAGGCTCCTAGGGCCAGGGCTCAAGTCGTGTAAA